AACAGGAAAAGCAACAATCCTCCTCATTTTTCCCCTCTGCACCTACTTTCTTCCCCTTCAGTGTGGCTGGATATTCTCAGTGTTGGAGTTTTATTTACAACCTCACATGTTCTCTGTAGTCTGAGTGACTAGGAAGAACATCTCTTGGCTGCAGTGATCGTCTGTCCTACTAGCACTAGCCAATCATCCCTTCCAACTTTTAAAATTCAAGAAGATCCCCACATCTCTGTTGAATGTTCTATCTCTCTCTTTTCTCAGTTGGTGGCAGTTGTTTGTTTCCTGTTGACCTGTTTCGTTGGTGGCTAGTATGTGTGCGGTAAAGAAAGCCACATACACAAGTCTGTAACTTCAAGCCACTGTAAGTAAAGAAACTTTTAAAATTCTTTCCCCCCACAAATGTCCCAAAGTGAGAAATGGGGTGGACTTCGGGAAACTTGAAGCTATTCTCCTCTGTGGATCTCTGTACTTCTACTGAATAATAAAAGAGAATTTCACAAGAAATTCAAAACTTAGCAACACCCAACAAGCATAATTTACCCGTGCAACCTGGGTTCTGAGGCAGCAGAACTAGCTGAGAAGCTGCAGAACTGCAAGTTGGCATGCGGCAAATCTCCATGCCTCTCAGTGCAGGTGGCCAAATATGCGAGGCTCTCACTTGGCAGGGGATAATACTTTCCTGAAGCTCATGAGGAATCAACAGCTTACATCCAGCAGCTTTGATTATTCTTATCTTAGCCTACATAGCAGTAACTACACCTTGGCCACGAAATCCTTTCAGCCCATTTCAAATCTGTGGCCTATAGTTAGCCAAGCCCTCCACGTCAAGGAAGTGCAAAGTGTGGGTTGTTACTCTTGGTAAGGGGTGCAAGAAGAACCTCAGCTATAGCAGATCCCAGGTGCAAAGTGTGCTATTTTTATTTATTTTTTTATTTATTACATTTATACCCCGCCTATCTGGTCATATTGCTATAGGCTTTTGGAAGGAAGGGAGGGAGGAGAAACAGTCTAGATCACAGTGATGGTGAACCTTTTTGAGCCTGAGTGCCCAAACTGTAACAAAAAATCAACTTATTTCAAAGTGCCAACACTGCAATTAAAACCCAAATACTGAGGTTTTACTTTAGGAAAAAACAACTGCTCCTTCACTGCAAGGGTTAAATGCTTGCGCTTTTTTCCCCTATGGGTGGTATTAACAAAGAAATACTTACAAGTCCTCCAATTCCCCTTTGGGCTAGATCGGTAATGGTTGCCATTGCGCCCCTCCGCTGGACCACTGCACCAGCAGAGGGGAGTGCCGAAATCTGGGATCAGAGGATGGGTAACTATTTCTCGATGGTGATTTATGGCCCGTGTGCCCACAGAGAGGGCTCTGTCTGCCAGCTGTGGCACGCGTGCCATAGGTTCGCCATCCCTGATCTAGGAGGTGTTGGTGTATATTTTTTCCCAACATGGACCAGTAGACTCACCAGATTTTGGTGCTCTCTCTCTCTAATCATTGTCATCCTGGGGCAAAGCCCCACTTGCCATATCTTAGTTACAGTTTTGGGGCAAGTGACAACGGAAGGCCGTTAGCTCCTCACAGTGCTTACGAGTTCCTCTGGGCTTTGACTGTCTCCTGTCGGACGCAGGATGCTAGAGAGAACCAAGACGGGGATTCTTGGCGCCTTCCTGCGCCCAGAAAGACAAGGTCAGGGGAGTGAAAGGTTCACAGTGGCCGAAGACACCCAATATCCTCCCCCTCCCCTTGAAGAAGAAGATAAAATTTTTAACAGCAAACGGCTTTTGCTTTCTCGGCTCAGTGGGGAAATCCTCAGTGTGGGTGCTTCTAAAGAAGCCTCAGCCTCAGCAGTTGGATTTGGGGGGGGGGGAGGAGAAGGCCAGAGTAATTCATCATAATTAACCATCCGATCATGAGTGAAATGAATCCGTGGCTTCTTTTTCCTCACATCCCTTCAGAAAGACAGCTCTCCAAACCGCTCTGCTGAATAACTGTCAACGTCTCCTTGACCCCCCCCTCCCCTTTCATCGCCTCTAGGAACGCTTCCCAGACCTCCCAGTTTTGTCACAAGCTTCTCTTTGACCTTAACTGGTACATCAATGAGTCACATTTGCTGTGCCCAGTTGTGGACGCCTGATGGGACTCTTTCAGTGGTCTTTCTCCCCCTCTGTTCTGTCTCACGGTCGAGGCTCACATCCATGACCACATCCTGCCTCCATCTCTTGACAATTACTGATGCCCTCCTCTGTGTCTTAGGCCACGGTCACAGCAGGGAAATGTTTTATAGTTATCCCCGTTGAGTTTTCATCTTAAATTAGTGGCCAGACGACACACAGGCATTACCGAGTCTTTTACCCCACCACCGTGCTAGCTTTGCATGATTTCTTGCCCTCCTGAAGGTTTCTCCTCTTTTTAATTGACCATTTCATTTCATGACAGGGTGTGTGTACATCCGTACCACAACTTTTCTGAGGGAAAGTCACCGTGGGAGGCTACCACCACTACAGTCATTGGGCTATCCCTTATTTTCCCCCCTCCTGTGGTCAGAGTGTTGGACGCGTTGGAAAAATAATGTCAATGGACCCAGGGCTTCCCAGGTGTGTGTGGACACCTTGTTTGTGACCAAAGTGGGACCTGTCTCTTTTCTTGCACAATGTCCAGAAACCCCACCATCAACTGCAAAGTTGGAAGGGACCCTCTGGATTCTGAAGTCCAATCCCTGTCAAGGGGGTTGGAATCGAACTCCCAACCGCTGGCTCCACTGCTGGAGACCTCAACCACTGAGCTGTCCAGAAGTTCATGTCTTCTTCTTAAAGGCCTTCTCAACGCTCAGCACAACGACACCCTCGGCCACCCAATTAAGAACATCTATCAGTGCTCTGAGTCTTTTGGGCTCATGCCCAGAAGTACTCCTAAGCATTTTGGGGAGCAGAACCCTGCAGTGCAAGCTTGTAGAGAGATAGAGAAATATAGATATGTAATTCAACCAAGTCCCCCATACCTTGCCCTGTGATGGTGGCCATGGAGGTGAAGGGATAAAAGCCTAGAAAGCAGCATCTCTGTCACTAACCAGGTTCTCCCAGATGGCCGAGCGGGCGAGTAAACTTCCCTCCAGAAGCAGCTGTTATTCTCCTTAAACCCAACATGTTAAAACCAAGCGGAAACTGCCCTTTTAAAAAAATATCATCTCCGCACTCCACAACTAGTAATAATCGTTTCATCCAGCAGTGCCTGTGCCCACTGTATTTTCTTTCCCATTAAAGGGTTCCTCTTTGTCCCTTTGACAAAAGCATATTTTGAATAACAACAGCAGGGGGAAAATTGCACACTGCCAAAAAAGCAAGGTACGCATTTATTCAAAAACTCTTTCTCTCCATTACCTCCTCCTCCTTCTTCTTTTCCCCCCCTTCTCTTTCTGTAAATGGAAGGATGCAGCTCCTTACAGATGGCACCAAAGCGCGCACACATTATCCTTCCAGCTTTCTACACAACTGTTCATTTGTGCAGGAAACACACGCGCGCGCGCACATACACAGCTCCAGATGGAAGAAACTACATTACTCAGCCTGGTGTTCTTTTCCAGTTTTGAAAGGAAGACATTATTCTATGCGCTTACACCAGAGGGAGGGACCTGTGGTTTTTTTGCTTTTCCAGCTAGGAAAGAGCCAGGCTATTACCCTCCCCTCGCTTGGAAGCCACAAGAAGTCTGTGGGAGTTACTTCTGAGTAGACCCATGAAAGGGTTGCCTCCATCCAGGATCAACTTTGGGTTTCAAGCTGGGGCAGAAACGTCTGGCTTAAATCCAATTGCTAGTCACACCTGAAGTAAAGCTACTGTGCTAGTGAGATTTACGCAAGTGTGAGCATTGAGCTGTGGATCTGTTCAAGCTGGGGCTGGGAACCGGATCTGGCCCTTCAGCATCTAAAAGGTCCTGGGAGCTATCTAAGGTGGACTCCTGTTTTGATTAATTCAGAGATGCTAGCACCATTCATGGAGAAACTGACTCATTAAAAGGAATTAACTACTGTTATAGATCTGAGATTCCCCCAAATACCAAGTTACTGTGATAATTGCAATTTTTTCAAAGTAACTTTGCTTGTTTTTCCAAAAGTTACCACACACACTTTCCTTTTAGTTACTTCCAGAGACAACTTAAACTTACAAGCTACTGTGGTACAAAACAGTGGTCCCCAACCTTGGGCCTCCACTAAACTTACAAGCTACTGGAGTGTGGTACAAAATGCACAACAGCAGAGGGGCCACCCCCCTAACAATCAAAAACGATGTTAAAGGAGTTCTAGTTATGCTAGAAAAAAGTGTGGCACTACGCCTAGTTATACGACACCTGTGGTCGAACTGCCACAGTCCTTGTACAAACCAATTGGTAGCACAGCGCCAGAGATTCCTGTGCTAGCTTGGGCTACAAGAGACTCACACGGTACATGCGAAAATGGAGGAAATTAAATCTGCTTTGTGGGCCCTGATATTAGTTGACAAGGCTGGTTTCATACATGCTCAGGCTGTGCCTTGGGAGATCCCCCTTTGAGAGCCTACAGCATTAAGCAACCACCCGCCAACTGGGCACCTATCTTGACCTTAGCATGGTCAACGGTAGTTTATCTCATATCCTTGGAGGTCACCAGGGAGCTCAAGGCCACCTCCTTGGCTGGCCTCTTTGTTCACAAGGCTGGCGTCCCCCCACCAAAGAAAAGGTCAACAGACAAAGTAATCTTGATGGATCATCTTCTGTCGCTTCTTTTTGGAGAGATATCATCCATGATGGCCCCAACAAAACCCATTTCTGGATGGCTCACTCCATCCCCAAATGCATGCGCATTGAGATACGAGCTGCTGTTTCCTGCTGTGGTGTTTGAGGGCTTTTAAAAATATAAAGGTGTGTTTTATCTACAAAGCTTCTGTTCCCCTTCCAGCCATCACGCGCTTGATCGGCAACTCACGTCCCTCCCTGCAGATCCGGCCAAAAAGGTCACTTCTTTCTTACCTCCCTGTCGATGCTTGACATCCAAAAACAGGGGCTGAATTGATGTTTCCCAGCGGACGTCATGAATTTCGCCTCCTCGTGGGCTTGGTTCTCGCTGTCAGGCACAGTGGATGCAACTTTTTTAAGGGTCTTGAAGGATCGGTCACCACGGCCAGCCTTTGAACTGGAAGGGGGTGGGGGGGAAAAAAGAACATGAAGAGAAGCTTGACGTGGGGCTGCAGAGATGGGAAAAACACCCTTGGAAGGGGAAGGGCTGGCATTACAGGCAGATCTCAGAGGATAAAGACAAGGTCCAAACATGTGCTCTGGGCTCGGCTACCCCGATTCTTCGGTTTTAGCTTTTGATGGAATTCCAATGCATTTTTTCAACTTTTTAAATTTTTTATTTATTTTTATTTATTTATTTTTTTGCATAGTTGGGGAAAGTTTTGGAGAGCTCCATTATCCAGTTTGGGAAAGTACCGGTATGCAACAGGGGACTGAATTTAACTTTGCACATGAGATGCAAACTTAAGAGTAGCACTGAAAAGTGGGATCAATGAATTATCCCATTGCTGGTACATATAGGAGTTTTTACAACCTCGCATGCCGTTCGTGGCTTGTTTGGCTGGGAGGGACTTTTCTGGAGCGGGGTGACTGTCAATCCATGCATCACTAACCAATCGTTCCTTCCCACCTCTGAATTGAAAAGACAGCCCTGCCTATCCGCTTATCATTCCCTTTTCCTCTCTTTAGTCTGTTGAAGGCAATTAGTTCTTTGTTTCCTGTTGATCTTTCTGTAGGTGATGAAACATGTTTATTCTTTCTCTTATAAATTCTCACAGTGAGTTATTGAGACCTTAAATCTCAATGTTAATGAGCAAGGGGTGGACTATCTGGGGAACTTGAAGAATTTCTCTTATGGGAGTCTCGACATTTCTACTGCATATCAAAAAGAGAATTTGACCAGAATTCAAAACTCTGCAACATAAATATACAACATATTAGTATTTTCCCTTTATAAAAGCCAGAAGAAACAACAACCTCTACTCTGCTACATATTTTAAAGAAAATACTTGCTATTTCTCTATATATTTGCCCTTCATAATGTGTCACGCAGGGATTTGGCTTTTAGATACTTCTTTCAAAGTATGAAGGGAATTGTGTGATGCAACCTTAACCCTACCGCTCATTGGCCAATTTTATCATCCCCAGTGGCAAAATGCGCATATATTTCAGATAGATCAGGTGACAATCCTATTAGGGAAAATGGGATTAGAAACGGCCATTATAAAATTATAGCAGAGAGCGCAAGGAAAAGAGATGTGCGGGCCCTCTCCAAGGTGAATGCCAGTGAAGATGGAGAGGCCCAAAAGAAGGCGGCAGCACATCAAAGGAGACAGATCAGGGGCTTGAGAGACATTAATGAATCCACGAGCAAATATTAACAAAGTGGACGCCGCCTTGAAAGCATCTATCACGCCATTTCTGGGATCTCAGAAGGGAGAGTGCTGTGGAATAATCAATCAGATGGACACAGCGCATCAGCGCTACGGCAAAGCATCAGACGCCGCCTGCCAGAAGGTCTGTCACCTGTGCTACAAGGGGACGGACACACAACAATGATCACCGAGGAGGAAGGAAAATGTGTGTTCAGGTGGCAGTGAATAATGTAGACACCTGAATGCCAGCTGAAACGTGACAGGGCCAGAATGAAAGCAGAGAGGAAGTACCTACAGCTGTTGGGCAAACATTTCCAGACGTGCTAAGAAACATTTCCCTTGTTTTTGGATACTCTGTGTCTTCATTAACATTGTCTTTCCTTGCCCTTGCCTTCGGTGAGGACCGATTGGCTATGTGATGGGATCCCTAATTGGGCAGGACCGGCGGTGTGGTTAACCCGCAAGGGACGAAGCCTTAGCTGAGGGTCAGGGTGATGACGTGAGAGATTTCCCCAAAGATTTATCTATGAGAGAACGCCATTTTCACAAGAGCCACTGATGTTCTGGGACTGTTCAGGTACCAAATATGAAGGATGGAAGGCATGAATGAGGCAGCTTGTTCCCTCTCTGCCTGTGCGCTCCTTCACAATTTGTTCCCACGGGGCATAAGAGCTGAGAGAAAGGGAGAAGGGAGGATGATGGATAATCCTCATCAGGCTGCGGAATCAGGGAAGCTAGGCCTGCATTCTCGTTTTGTTTCTTCCACCAGTAGGCAAAGAGCGATTACTTGGACGGGATTTGTCGGAGTTTTGTACAACCTCGCGTGCTCTCTGTAGTTTATATTTTATTTATTTATTTTATTTATTTGATTTATACCCCACCCATCTGGCCTACAAGGCCACTCTAAGTGGTTTGTTTGACCAGGAGGGACTTTTCTGGCCTGGGATGATTGTTTGGAATCAGGGAAGCTAGGCTGGCCTTCTCATTTTTATTTCTTCCACCAGTAGGCAAAGAGCTTTTACTTGGACAGGATTTGTCAGAGATTTTTTACCACCTCACATGCTCTCTATAGCTGCTTGACCGGGAGGTACTTTTCTGACTTGGGGTGATGGTTACTGAGACCTTAAGTGAAAGAGGTGGCCTATCTGAGGAACTTAAAGCTATTCTCCTCTGTGGGTCTCTATATTTTTTACTGAATAACATAATTTTTTTTTACCAGAAACTCAAAATTCCACAAGGGGCCACATCCCTGATTTTCTTTGAAATCCCTTTGTGTTCCTCTATGTTTTCGTATTATAATTTGCTTCACCGTTTTTCACGTGCCCACCTCTGTGTCTGCGGTGCCTCACTTTCCTGATGGACAACCCCCACCCCACATACACAGTACACACACACACACACCTCTTTGCTGGTTTTCTGCTGGCAGCTTGAAGGAAAGTCATGGTGCTTCCCTTGGGCTTCTTTGACCGAGGATGGAGGGAAGGCGGGAGGGAAGGTGGCCGAGGGGAAGGACGAAGGTGAAGGGTGAAGGCGAGGCAGGGAAGAGAGTGGAAAGAAAAGCAGGAGGGCTGGCCACATACGGGCAAGGGAGGACATGAAGGCTGGCAAGAACAGCAAAGTGAGTCGGGGAGGGGGGCTAGAATGGGAGGAAAAGATGACCCATGGATGTCGATGATGGGGTACGTCCCAGTGGGTAAATGGTGCCGCTATTTGCCACTTGAGTCAAAGCTGTCACCCCACCAAATGGTAGAGCTGGCCCGGAACCTTAATATTGCCAATTCACCTTTCACTGCCAGAGGAAACAGGATGGGCAACTGTGGTTCCTGAGACTGCCATCATCCCACAAGGCCTCCGGACCTACCAAGTTTGGCGCACACATTGAGCAGTCAGAAGCCCTATTCAGCACTTCAGTGCATGTGGTGCCCACAGGCACGGAGGAGAACATGATCCCCCTGCCTTGGCCATCATCTCTTCCACACCAGAAATGCTTGAGGAAGGAAGGCAGCTCTGTCCGTCCGTCCGTCTATCTACCTCACTGACTTAATTCAAATATGCTACCCTTTTAGTGCCATGCACTTCTCTGGGTGGTTTAGAACAATGATAAAGAAAATAAAACATATACTATTAGGTTCTCAATGAGATAGCAGGACTAGAGGGAATTACAGTCATTGTGGAAGGCCTCCCTGAAAAGGAGCCATTTAGGTTGCATTCTGAACATTGAGAGAGGGGGGGCCAGGCGTACTGTAGCTCCACCAGGAGCTGTTTCCTCAAAGTCAGTGCCACCACGAAGAAGGCCTGACCTCTTGTAGACGACTTACGGGCCTCCCTCGGAGCGGCTACCTGGAGGAGCTTGTCTTGGGAAGATCTGTGTAGATGACACTGGACAGAAGATGCTCCAACAGGTAACAGGGTCCCAAATGGTGACAGGTTTTATACATGAGCATCAAAACCTGGAATCTGATCCGGGAGACAAAGGGCAACCAGCGGAGAGGAGCCAGAATGGGATCACATTTGCTCGCACCGGCCGTAACGTTCTGGACCCACCGTAGTCTCTGGGTCAAGCCCCACAAAGAGATTGTTGCAATAGTTGAATCGTGAGATGACCAGTTCTTGCGCCAAGGTCTTGTGCAAACCCTTGCACAAGAGTTGGGTGATCAGCCTCTAAAAGCAGACCTCGAGGTGGTGTTCAGCCTACCCATTGTATCTCTCTTCAGAATAGTTACATTTCCATGAATACAATAATAGCATTAATGAGGTCCATGTGCTGTTTTCAAAGGATTCATCCTTCACATGCTTTGACACACGATTGACTACAGCCTGTTGGCCAGCTTTCCTAACGGATGGACCAGCAGCTCCCACCTCAGTGTCTAACTTCCGCATTTTTGTGCAGCCGCTGTTGGAAAACACACCCTCTCTTTTGAAAACAAGAAGCCAGACCTGCCCATGGGCCCCCATCCTAGCTGCGTCACTGAAATTATTCAGCCAAATCACAGCGTATTTGTATACATGCTCACGGTTCCTGTTTTATCCAACGTGACTTCTTAAAAGGAAAATGTGGAACTGTGCAGGGCGTACAGTTCTAATTCACACCACTACAACACATTGGGGTATTTTTCCGTGCACGCTCATGTGTGTGTTTTGTTCCTGAAGGTAATGATATATGACATTTAGAAACCTGCACAGAATGGAGAGGGGGAAAAAAATCTCCAGAACTGGAAAGCTGGCAGCGGTAAAACAAAATGGTGCTATATTTAGACGTCACACAAGAGACGCCATGAACTCCAGTAAAACTTGATTTATAATTAAGGGTGTTGTGTGTATTTGTATGTGTGTGTATGCGTGTGTGAGAGAGTTTAAATCAACCCTGAAGACTATGAGAACAACAAAGCATAAACAGAATCCTTCTGGACACAAATCATGTCCTTCTTGGTACCATAATTGTGTAAGATCCAGGAGTATCCAGGAAACCAGTTCTTAAGGAAGCAGAAATCCTCATTCCGAAAGGTGTAAAAAGGAGAAAGCCCCAGTATCCAAAGTAGGTGCTTGGTAAGGGTGGTGGGTTCCAGAGGAGTCTGGACGACTCATTTTAATATTGCTGCCGGTCATAATTCATATTTTGCATGCCTTGAATGTTTGAATGGTAAGACCGTACAGTGGGAACCACGCACCTCCCCAGGACTCTGCATTTTCATGTCTAGCTGCGCATAAACACATAAACAAACAAACAAACTCACTCTGCCCT